GTGAGAGGAGCTAACAACTCCTGCCTCTGGCACAGACAGAGTCAGCGCAGCATGAATATCAGTATCTGTCACCGTCAACCACAACAGCACCATGTACCACTTGGGATGCAGGGTTGATGGCAATGTGGTTCTTAACACCTGGGCTTTCGGGATCCGGGATGGGTGTGCAGCCTCACAAATCAAGAGGAACACCTGCCATGCACATCACTTTATCCTAACCCTGGAGGGCTTTCAAGGCAAGGGAGAAGGGATTCTTGCCCCAGGAAAGCCCCTGAGTGCACCTCAGATTCTTCTGGGGAGATGCCCCTTCCTCAGGCTATGCTCTAACTGGCCTGGATTCAAGAGGGGCTGAGACATCACAGGTTCTGAAACCCCCTGAGGTGCTTTTGTGTGACCTTAGCCCACCTTCTGGGCTAAGAAGCAAGGATTTTCATCCTCAGACCTTTCCTTTGGCTGTACCAAGGAGACTGACCAGGAGACTGCCTGCCTCCCAGCTAGCCCTCTCTGGGGACTCTGGCAATGCTCTTCAGTGAGTGGGTCTCTGGCTTGGCAATCTTCCAACTTGAGTTTGCATATGAACCATCTGAAGGGCTGCTCAAAATAAAATTCCTGGCACTCCATCCCGAGCAGCCCTCATCCGAAACAAATCCCAGTGGTAAGAAAGCTGCTGAGAATGGCTGGCCTTTGACACGGTCAAGACTCCGCTTTCTGAGTGTTTCAGATCTCAGCGTCACCCTTACCATGCTCTGCATGTATCTGAACTGACATGGTTCACTTATTTATCTATCCAGTCGTAGGTATAACACATCATATAAGGAGCTAGAAAATCCAAACAAGAGACTTAAAATGTCCCCCGTTGTCTCCTTACCAACCAATCTCAGCAGCACCGATGGGGGCAGTGGTAGGGACAGAACTTTCTCAGAGGCCCGGGGAAGGTCTGACAAGGCTCGAAGTGGGTGAGGGCAAGGAAAACAAAGTGCTGATGACAGCCCCAGTGACTCTCAAAGAAGGCTTGGAGTGGAAGCCGAGGAAAGGCCTGTTGCTCAACTGCCTGGATTTTCCATCACAGCGAAGCGGGGAAGGGTCAGGTGGGGAATGTCTCCTCAAGCAGGTCCTTGTAAAGCCTCTTGGCCTGACTGGTTTCCTTTGAGGAGCCAAGAAGCAGTGCTGGGTAGAGTTAACCCCTGCATTCCCGGTGAGATTGCCCAGAGATGGGCAGGACCGGGAACCTGCGCTCCTGGAAGGCAGAGCTGCCCAGGGCAAGTGGCCTAAGAGCCGTGAACTCTGGCTAGGGAAGCCTTCTCTCTGGCCTTGTTAAATCCAACAGGCATAATTGCATCCTGCTGACCTTAATTCCCCTGGCGGGTTTAATTGGGCCTGGCACTGTCCCACTTCCTGCCTTGGCCCCACAGAGGCGAAAGGCGTCCGCGCAGCTGGCACGGGGCGGGGAAACCCCTTCAGGAGTTAGGTGGGCAGGGGTTCTGGCAGCCTCTTGCAGGGTTGAGGAAGTTTCCCCGTGCCCCTCCCCCACGCCTCCAAGAGAGTGCTGAGAAGCCTGGGGACTCCCTGCGGAGCAGCTGACAGGACCAGGTCATCCCACACAGTTCAGAACCACTCCAGCCTCCCATCCCAGCAGAAGGTACTTTTGGTAGAACAGGCAAAATAGCTGCTCTCGATCTGTGGTAGTCACCACATTATCAAGTCCCAGGCCCTTTTGCTCTGTGCCAAGCGCTCTACATACACAGGCTGGGTACAAATTCTCAGGCATCCTGGGTGCCCATGAGTCTCTAGACACTTAATGAGCTTCCTTCTGGGAGCAGGTGGTCCTCCAGCAGAAGAGACCACTGGGACACATGTCATCCTCATAGCTGGTGGACTCGACCTTCACTGTAGCACTCCTGACTCCTACCCAATAGGGCTGCTTGAAGATTAAAAGCACGATGTCCTGGGGCTGGGGAGATTCACTCATCAGAAAGCATTGCCCTAGAGGGTCAGCTGTGAGGCAGCTGGTCTCCTGGTAGGCACTGTACACTACTGGTCCCACAAGCTTGAGGGCCCTACTTCCATCCTGGGCACTCATACAAAAGCTGTGTGTGGCAGCACTTGAAACCCCAGCACAAGAGAGGCAAAGAGGTAGATCCTAGGCTCTCCCAGGCCAGCCCAGCTGAATTGGTGTGTTCTAGGTCCAGTGACAGACCCTGACTAGCTTGATTTCCGGTGCTGGGATAAAACACCAGAAGCATCTTGGGGAGGAAGGGTTTATTTCCTAGTATCGTCGTTGACAGTACCCCAGGGAGGGAAAACAAAGAAGAAACTCGAGGCAGGAACTGAAGCTACGGCCATGGGGTGCTGCTTACCGGCTTGCTCCTCCTTACTTGCTCAGCCTGCTTTCTAATACAACCCAGGACCACTTGCCCAGGGATGACACCAGCCACAATGGGTTTCTGCACCAATCACTAATCAAGAAAATGCCTTATAGACTTGCCTATAGGCTAATCTAGACATTTTCTCAACCTAGGTTTCCTCTTCTAAGATGACCCTAGCTTGCATCAAGTTGATAAACAAACAAAATCCACATAGTTAGAGCAACTGAAGAAGACACAGTGACCCCTGTGTCAACCTCTGAGCCCACTACCCACAAGGCTCCTCAGGCAACCGGCCAGCATTGGTGAGACTTCCCATTAGTTATTTTTATGTGGGAATCTTAACGAGAACAGCAGACTAGAATAAAAGTCTGTTGTGACAAGAACTGGCTCTGAGTTTGATCATTTTGATGCTGCTCAACAGGCTGAGGGGTTTGGAAAAGCCATTTATCCCCTACCTCCTGCCCCACCCCTCAGCGTCAGTCTCTGCAGCTTTACCACGTGACACACCTAGCCTCTAGGGACTGATGCGTGGGTCCTGGGAGCTTGGTAAAGAAACCTCTTAGCATCATCAGACCTGGCCCTTAGTGGGCCTCACTGAGTGCCTGACAGGTGACATATTGATAACCACAGAGGTAACCAGGGGATGTCATCAGGGGCCACCACAGTAAAGCAATCTAGACTGTCAGCCAGCCTTGCTCGTTAGTCACTGGGCTATTGTGGTAGGCACATGATGGGAACCACGGAGTCCTGTCTAGGCTGTGAGCTCACCATGGGAGCCACCAGGGGCACTAGAGATGTAGAGATATCTAACCAAACCATGCTGAGGAAACAGCCAAATGTAGGGCCAGGGGTGTCCCTGTCACAGGTGAGGACAGGAGACATTTCAACCTTCTGAGAGCCTTGGGGGTCTACATGGCAGGGGGGTGTGAAGTGTATGGAGCTACTAACCTATACGTCTAGCTTCACCATTGAGGGCTTTAGACAAGCCACTCTTTCTTCAGCCCTCCTCACCTTCATCCAGAAAATGGGGTGAGTGTGGCCCACAGTTACCACCAATGACAATGTGCAGCGGAGAAGTTAGACAACGCCAATAGGAGGTGCTCGGTGGCCAGGACTCCCTTCCTTCCCTTAGGTGAGGTTAGGTTTACACCCAGGGCAGCCCCTCATGGGTAAGGGCTTCACAGACATTGCTTTTTTTTTTTTTTTTTTTCTTCCTGGAAGAAGAATGTTGCCTGCTGAACCCTGTAGAAGAGGAACCGTGAACAGGACCAGCCCAAAGAGGAGACGGAGCCAGGGATGGGGGAGGGATTCAGAGGTTTGTTTCTGTTAGCTTGTGTCAAGTGCTTTTCATGTTTGCTGGCTTTCAAAGAAATCATGCATTCCAAAATTCAATACATTCGCACAGCTCAAAGAAAACAGAAAGAGAGCTGAAGATGTGAGTGACACATGTCTGTCATCTCGGTGCTCTGGAGGCTGATGCGGGAGGATGGACAGCCTAGGCTACTGTGGGTCACCTAGCAAGACCCTGTCTAAAAACCAAAAATACACTTAAAACTAAATAAGAAACCTTGATGCCTCTCTTCCAGCCAATCTCCTGCCAAAGAAGCTTGCACGAGTCACAGACCCTCTGCACTATTCCCACCTGATTTCCCCCCTGGAAAGCTACTTCGTATCAGCCCCTTAGCAGCTTCCTGATCCATTTCACAGGACCACGTTCCCCCACCTCAGAAGCTCCTGTCTGCTCCACCCTGCCTCTGTAGTGAAGTGACCAGCAGTGGTGAGCCACTGGAAGCTTTGCCCCAGTTGGGATCTGAACCCAGACTGCTACCCCATGACCTCTTCCAACACAGCCTTGGCCAGTGCTCAGGCCTCCTCCCAGAAAATGTGTGGGCTGACAGCCACTGGGTAGTGGAGAGGACCCTACAGCATGGTCCTCCCTACCCCATCTCAGCCTGAACACCTTGAGCTCGGGTCTCCATCCCTAAAGAGACTTCCCATCAACCCCTTCTTGAGGAGGATCATCTTATATTTCCACGGGCCTCCCTCTGCTGCTCAGCCAAGCCTCTATGCCCCCCAAAGAACCCAAGAAAAGAAAGTTTTCCCCAGGGGGGAGAATCAGACCTGTGGACAGTGAAGCAAACAGTCTTGGAATGATTTCTTACCCAGAGATGGTCTAAGTAGATCCGGATACCTGGGGCACAGGGCTGGGCACTGGGGTCACGCCGGCTCTCCCCAAGCTCCTAGGAACCCAGAGAGGTGTGTCATAGTGGTGGGCAGAGCCATTTCTGGGCCTGGGCATAGTTTTACCTTTCAGCCCTGCCCTTGAAGCCCCTTCCTTTATCCTGGCCACAGCCTGCTCCCCAGGGCCCAAGTGCCCCCTCCCTTTTTCTTCCTAATGGTTCCAACACCATTCTACCCCATGTCAGGCCATGGGAAGAATGCCGTGTCCTCTGAACGGGGGCCAAGAGTGACAGGTGGTGGCAACCCGCACTGCATGGCCCCTGGTGTCAAAGATCCTCCTCTTAGTCTCCGCCTCCACTGCCCACGCCCCTGCCTCCGCCTCTGCCCACCGGGCCCAATCCCTTACAACCACCCCAGGATTGCGCCTGAGTAGCTGCAGCAGACTGCCGGCCACCAGGTTGCCCCTCTCTATCCAGGTACATCTCTCCTCTCAGTTGACTGGCCTTGGCCTTCTCTCTCCACAGCTGGAAAAGAGGGGACAATCTGACAACCTGATGCACTTCACTCCTCTTTCTGCAGCTAGAAAAACTTGAGTTAGACAAACAGAAGCACACGCCTACCTACCTCATGGCTACAGAAAACGGAGCAGTTGAGCTGGGAATCCAGAGCCTGTCAACAGGTGCCAAGCCGGGGCAGGAGACAGGAGGGAGGAGCTTCGGAAGGGATGTGTTTGAAGCCAGGAATTGGGCAGGCTTCTCACAGGGAAGTCTGTGCCCAAGGCTTTCTGCTTGGTGCATGAGGGATTTGGGAATGGGGATAATCTATGGGTGGGGTTGGGCTGGGTCCAGCGCCTGCATGAACCCTTTGCTGGAAGGGAGATGGGACGCCTCCATCAATGGCTTTTGGGGGTTCACTTTAGAACTAGTACACAAGGGAGGCCGGCAAAGCCCATCCAGAGGGTGAGAAGCTGGTTCGGAGTCCCAGAGCTCCTGATAAGTTTGTCACCAAGCGGCTCCAGAAACTTGGAGGGACAGGCATTGGATAGGGACCCAGAGCAGGCGTCTGTCCCGCTTGTCATGTGGGAGAAAGGAGGGAATGCTGATGGATGTCTCCCCTCCTCTGCAGAACAGACACCTAAAGGTGCTGCAGGTGATGGACCTCCAGCTTCAGAGAAAGAACCCATCCCCCTAGTAACAGAGAAAGACCTGGGTCCCCCTAACACGAAGAAAAACCCTGGTGCACCGGATCCAAAGAAAAATCCAGATCCACCGTCCCTGAAGAAAGATCCCACCGAAGCCCCTGGCCCAGAGAAAAAGGTTGACCTGGCCTCAGCTTCAGCCGGCAGCCAGGGCCCTTCAGGAGAGGGGGATGGAGGTGGGGGGCCTGCTGAAGGCAGTGTGGGGCCCCCTGCAGCCTTGCCCCAGCCCACTACCACAGCCGATGCCAGTATCCAGAAGCTGGATGCCAAGCAAGCACTCTCGGGCGACCAGGAATCCGGAGAGGCCAAGGCAGGCAAGAAGGCAGCAGAATGCCGCGAAGCAGGAAGAAGGGGCTCCCCTGCCTTTCTGCACAGCCCTAGCTGCCCCGCCATCATCTCCTGGTGAATGGCCCTGCTTGGGGAGGGCGAGGCCTCACGGCTCCTTTTTCTAGACTTACCCTCCCTGGCTTGAGTACTGGATATTACCAGATCTCATGCCGGGGTCGGTAGTCCTGGCCCAGGCACCCACTCTACCACCCTATCCCAGAAGAAATGATATTACCTTCATTCAAAGAACAGAATGTCAGACGGGATGTCACCAAAGACCAGCCAGGCTACATGTTTGTTTGTTTGTTTGCACTAGGCTTTGGGCGTTTATTTCACAAGTGTCCAGTGGCAAACTGGAGCGTAGGCTTCTTAATTTAATATAAAAAGACAACTAACAATTCATTCATAAGCTGATGCACTCGGTTATGCACAACTGAACACTCAGGATCTGCAGACACAGCATTGACACTCCTCACACCAGTCACAGTAACATATTACCGATGGTTACATGGCAACATTTTTTTTTTAATGAATCGAGAGCCTTACAGCTTCCTGTCAGCCCCATGTGATTAGCTACATCGTAACAGCCAGGTTCTGTCAGAGGTTCTTCCCTGTGTTGAGAGTTGGCCCTTGATGTGGACAAAATAGCTGTCAAGTTTGGTCTGGAAGCCTCAAACCTGCCTGAGGTGTCTCACTTCTTGCCTTCTAGCTCTGAGAAGACACAGGCTGTGAAGCCCCTTAGCGAGACAACAGACCTCGTCTTTGCAGGGGTGTCTGTAGCCCCTGACCACCAAGATCCTGGTCCAGCCAAGGCAGAAGGAGGGAAGAATGCCCTGGCAGAGAAGAAGGAAGAGACAGAGAAAGCCCCAGGCCAGGCTGGGCAGGCTAAGGTGCAAGGGGACACCTCCCAAAGGATCGGGTTCCAGGCTGTTCCCTCAGAGAGAGCAGAGGTGGGGCAGGCCCTCTGTCTCACTGCCAGGGAGGAAGACTGCTTCCAAATTCTGGGTAGGTAGGGGCAGACTGGGGTTAGAGTGTCCCAGGATGGGGGAGGGGAGGGATGAAGTAGTCCCGGGTATCCTTTCTTATACAGGGGGCTAAGTTACCCTGATCCATGCCTCCCCCAAGCTCCCTGATCCAAATGTCACAGGGCACCAGGTAGTGTTTCTTACTGATAGACATGAGAAAGGGAAACAAAATGTTTAAAGAGGGTGAAGACCGTTTGACTCAAAACCCCACTTTTGATTTTCTTCTACTTTGGTTAACATGGAATTTAAAAAAGAAAGAAAGAAAGAAAGAAAGAAAGAAAGAAAGAAAGAAAGAAAGA